TATATATAAAATGTAAAATTATGGTTTCATCCTGCTTGTGTGGGTTGCGGTGATGCATGTGAGCATGTGAAACGAGGCTTAATTTTTCTCACTATATTCAGTTTGCATGAGGCCTCGGGTCCAACTGCTTGTATTCAAGGGAGTTATTTCTTGGGGTCCCAATATGTAACCATTCATTACTTGACCAATATTATTTAGTATGTTTAAGTAACTAGAAGAGTGTTCCATGTTTTCAGTGTTGGGAAATTTGATTCATATTTTATATTTCTCTTTGAAGTTTTTATTTCTCAGAGGTGAGCATTCAGTGTTATTCAGATCATTTTTTATTTACATATTTTGTGAAATACCTGGAAAATCAAAACATATCAATGTTGTGACCTTGAACTGATTTGTACCAATGGCATTTGTATGTGAAAATGTTGGTGTTGTGTATTTCTGCTTGTTATCTTCATCATTTACATAGAATATGTAGCTAGAAATTGTTGAAAGATGTCAAAGAAAGGAGTGGGTGAAAGAACAAAATTTATTAATTTTGTTGTTAAAAAAATTATTGACAACTGGGGTTGAGTTTCTGACCGGTCAAAATCTCTGAATAATTGACTGAAGTTGTATCAGTTTACAGAAGAAGTACATGCATCATGACATTTCATATTTTTCATTATTCCCCTCTTGGCTTTACTATATGAAAAACTCAATGACTGGAATTATAACAAAATTTGTGGTTTAATTAATTGGAAATCATGTGGTACTTCACTAATTCTTCACTTGTAAATGTTTTACTACATCTGGAATAATGAAAATTGGTAGTCAGTGATGCACTTTGCAGTTACTTGTTAAATCATTAGTATGCCCAATGATAAGAATTTTGATTACCAATTTTTTATTATTTTTTGTCAAATATTTTAATTACCAAACTGTCAATTGGCTGAATTTTGACTGGCTGTTCAACCCTTATCTTTTAAAAACTGCAAACTGACTTTCCTTGTGTTGTTAGACTCTTCGATGTAGGTGGCCAGAGATCAGAACGTAAGAAATGGATCCATTGCTTTGAAGACGTCACAGCAATAATTTTCTGTGTTGCGATGTCAGAGTATGATCAGGTTCTGCATGAAGATGAAACTACGGTGAGTATCAGCAATGCAAATATCATTTACCTGTCTGTAGCACTGCTGTCTTTTGGCAGAGGTCTTCATTGGAATCTCTTGATTTCACCAAACTGTTTGTATACACCTCTTCCTGGTTCAGGGAAGGGAAGTGATTGAGGAGGAAGGAGCAATGGATTTGGGTGAAGTTTACCTAGTTTAATTGGAATGCAATATGCACAAGAAACTAACGTAGCTGCTTGCTCTTTGCCTGCTTTTGTGCATCTGTGAAAGCGTGTGGTGGAAATTTTGTAACACATGTTCCTTGCTTGTTGTAGCACACGTGGAGGAATGTTAGATATGCGTTTCAGTTTTCTCAGCTATAGGGCTTCGGGAGTCACATGTGTTGCTGTTGAGCGAGTAACACAGAGTGGGAAGCATCTTGTATGTGCATGCCAATAATGCATAGAGGTAATGGGTAGTTTTGAAGAAAAAAATGTGCACTACGCTTCCAAATATGAAGGAAGCACTGTGGTGAGAATGCTGCTGGTGGCAGGCAGAAGTTGCCCACACAATTGGCAGTGAAGCAGGAACCTTGCTCTTGCTTGTACATAATGCTGAATGCTTGTGTGCCATCCAAGCTCCTAATACAAGCCCACCATTCCTTCTCGTATATGCATGTCATTGGCACTGACTTCAGAAGGGGTACCTTTCTTTTCGTCCATTGGATATGAATGGTGCATGAGAAATGATAATGCTTGATTGTTTTCCAGAATCGTATGCAGGAAAGTTTGAAGCTCTTCGACTCCATCTGTAATAACAAATGGTTTACCGACACGTCGATCATTCTGTTTCTTAACAAGAAAGATTTGTTTCAGGAGAAAATTAAAAAGTCTCCTCTTACGATATGTTTTGCTGAATTTGCAGGTGAGTTGTCCCAAAATATTGTAGTTTTAGAACAATGGTTCTCAAGCTTGTGATCAGGTATAAGAGAATCAATTTTGAATTTTACTTTATTTTGTTAAAAATGGTTTTAACACAAAATTGCCAAATTGATGTTTTGGCAATGTTTCAGGGTTTTTTTGTGTATTGTAGTAAATGATGTACCTTGGCCAAATTGAACACTAACTTTCTTATCACTCAGAATGTGAATTGTAGCCATGACTTAAGATTTTAAAAGCTGAAATGAATATCAGATTACTCTGCAGTTTAATCAGTTTACTCATCCCCATAGGGAAAAACATGCTCTATTTTGAGAACCATTGTACTATAAAGCATTCAAATTAATTATTCTGAGAATGATGCTCATCAAACTCTTCTGTTTTGTGAAGGTGCTCAGGAATATGGTGAGGCTGCTGCATACATTCAGGCTCAGTTTGAAGCCAAAAACAAGTCCACCACAAAGGAAATCTACTGCCATATGACCTGTGCAACAGATACAGACAACATTCAGTTTGTGTTTGATGCGGTGACAGATGTCATCATCGCTAACAACCTGAGGGGTTGTGGTTTGTACTAAGCGCCCTAACACCCAGGGTGTGGAGCTGGATGCTGCAAAAGATGCGTAGAAGACTGTGAGATGTGTAGCAGGGGACTTCATGGGTGATGCTTGTCATATTTGAGGTCGGACACACCTTGGATGCAATATTTGATATTGAATGCCAGCACAAAGAAGAGGAAAATTGCACTGGGAGGTCTTTATTATGCATTTTTAACAATTCTTAATTAATTCTTGTGCAGTCACACATCTTCACACCATGTTCATATTCTGCTACAAAGTAATGTTTTGATAAGAACCACTGTAGTATAAATACCTAACTCTGTGAAAATATTTACAGGATGCTAAACCCTATAACTATATTTCAAAGGATGATTGTGCATTTCTTGATGTTAATTTATGAGAAGTGTGTGCAGTGCATTTTTGCTGTATTGTCAATTGTTTCATTATGTTCTTATCATTGTTTTCATTCATTTAAATTTTCGTATTTCACTTACAACTAAAAAAAATTGTCAAGTGTTGGTTAAATTATAAAGACTATCAGTGCTTTGAAGATGTAGAGTTATTTCTCTACTCTCAAACTGAATGTTTCTTCTCCTGCAGAGCACATGGGCGTTATCAGAGAGGCACATCATGACATTTCAACATTCATTTGTTATTCCGAAGTCATGAGCTCAAAAAGCTGGGATAGAGAAATAACCAGGTCTTGGAGAAGTAACCCTCAGTTTCTGTGAGATGTGGAGAAATCTCTATAATCATGTGCAGTCATTCTTGCAGAATTTGTGCATGAATGTTTTGTTATTAATTTAAATGTTTTTATATCTTTTGTTTTTATTTCTTTAAAGTTACTACCTAATTTATTTATTATTGCATTGACACAAAATATTGGTCCAATGTTATGTATCAAGTTATCAAGTGCCAAGATGTTCATTTTTATAGGATATGTCTGATGCTTCTGTAACAGTTTTGCTCTTAAAACAGAGCAGTTACATGTGCTTTATATTATATATTGTTTGTTTTGTGTTTGCAATGTTCACTGGCAAGCATTAGCTCTAGAAACAAGGGCCAACGTGCTTTCATTGCCAAGGGACACATACTGTGTCTCCAGGAACGCACATTCACTAAACTGCACACAAATCCATTTGTACTGTATTCGTATTTTTGACTACGCCTTTGTAGTATTATTCTAAATAATTGTGAAGCTGAAGGTGTCTTTGCTGGTCTTTGTCATTGTGAACTGGACTTTTGAACGTTACTGTAAATGTGAAATCTGCCAAATGTGGGCCCCAAGAGTATCGTAGTGTTGTTAAAAGGCTCTAGTGGGCACGGTTGTTTCATTTGTCCTCTGTCTCAAGGTTGTGAGTCTTTCTGTATCACTCTGCTGTTTGGTAAGAGACTTTTTTGAGCCTGCAGACTCAACGGAGGTTGAATCCTCAGTTCAAGCTAGACAGCAGCAACATAATCAGCATTGAATAGTGATATATATCTACAAAAAATTGGGATGGGAATAAACAAATTATTTTCTGTAGATAGTAATATTTGGAGTGGATGTAGTTTTTAAAACAACAGTATAAAAACTTACATGTTTGTGAAGAATTGGAGGTAGAAGATGAATCCTGAGAAACTTATCAATTGAATTGAAGACTTCGTGATATTTGTTTTGTAAGAGCAACCAAAGCAATATTTTATTTTCCTGTTTTAGAAATGGGGGATTTTATAACATCTCACTTGTTTTCATGCTCTTGCCATAAGTACAGATGAAACGTAAGTATTTCCCAGTTGCAGCAAGACAAAACGTGATTCTGTTTTAAGCATCTTCGCCAATTTCATTCAAGCATAGCTCTGCAGCAAATGCTATAAAATAGAGCTGAGGCAGTAGGGGGACGTGAGGTTAGTGGATGGAATGCAAGAATGTGCTGTTCAGTGTTCATTAGAATATGGGTGGTATGAGGCACCTATATTTTCTTCGGCAGTCTCTTCTTTTTCCTCCTGTATTTGAGCCAATGACAAAAAATCTGTGCATTTTACATTCCTCGTAATAGCATATATACATATACTATCCACATAATTGAGAGCTGTTGTGCAGTGGCTGAATTTGGATTGATTGGTTACTGGACTGTGTTGTATATCTTAAATGATTTCTCTAGGTTTGTGAAACATGGTGAGGTATGCTCCAACCTTCACATTGTTACTTACATGACATTCCTCGATTCTGATTGCCTAGCAGTTGTGAAAGTCGATTAGATCCCAATGCACTTCTTGAAGATAAAACTACCTGATATATTGTGTTAAATGTCAACGTGTGGGCTTGTCACTGATCGAAGCCAGACTGTACTGGTCAAATTACGTGTCATTGAGTATGTATAGACAACATATGCATAAATGGGAATAATAATATTGATATATGAAAAATAATCTTATGAAAAATGCTATATTGTGTAGAATTTTATTTCACTTATGACAGTTATTGTGAATCTAGTCAGTAGTGCATTGAATTGTTTATGCCTCTTATCAGTTTGTTAATGCTATTGACATTTTTATTTCTATAATTACTGTCTCTTAACTTATTCAGATGTGATCTGGTGAGTGAATGCGTGTTGTTTTCATTTTCTTACCCCTGTTGTTGTTGTTGTTATTCTTCTTCTTCTTCTTCTTCTTCTTCTTCTTGCAGAAACCTTTGTCTCATAATTCTGTTTCATGCAACCTGCACTCTCTAGTTCCCTTTACTACAATTTTCTGAATCTTCCCATGTCATTTCTTTGAGCCTGTTTTAACGCACATGTGAAAATCTTTGTGAATGCAAATTTCCTTCTTTCATAGTTTTGCAGACTGTTAATGTTTTGGACAGCTCTGCAAGAGCTTTTGCTAGTTTCCCAAATAAAAGGGAAAATTTATGTGCAAGTAATTGTTTGTTTATTCGTATTTTTGGGGAGATGAAATTAGATGTGCTTTGTAACTTAAATGGATGACCTTTAGTGCTGGGCCATACTAAACAGTGCTTGTGCAGATTTACTGTCTTTTGCCATGTTCCAAAAAAAAAAAATAATAATAATAATAATAAATAAATCCAACCAACTGTGGGTAGAGGGTAGTGGAGAAGGGGATGTTAGTGGGTCACAATTGCACATTGCATCCCTGCCTTCCTCCTGATCTCACCGCCAACAGTGTGCCTGAGAAATCAATGCGATCCCTATACACTGCATGTCTACATCATCCCAAAGAACCTTTCTTCAAATTTTTAATTCTAAGTAAGTTGTGTGTGGCCATTCCTCCATGCACAGACCCCATGTAACACCCTTTGTGTGTTTGCCTTTCATGTGATGTATGTGTGTGGTGTTGTGGTTGAAATGCTGAATCTTTCCTTTGGTGCACAGAGTAGGAACATGTGCTATTTAAACTTGGGAGTTTTAAAAAATTAACCTCATGTCAGATGAAAGGCTCAAATCTTCCAGTAGAACGTGTGTTGTCAGTGTTTCTCTTCTACGTACAAATTCTATGACATTCAGACATCAATTTTTCCAACCATATAATGAAAACTGTAACTATAAGAACATAATTATAAGATCATTACTATAAAATCATAACTATAAGAGTTGGCATGACTCCATACTTTTTACTGCTCATTCTTGTGAAAAAGAGAGAGAGAAAGTAAGAGAGAGAGTGAGAGATGTTCTCTCTCAGAAATGACTGTCCTTTGCATAGTGCTGAATTTTTATCATGTACCTCCTCTGTGCTAATTTTTTTCACTGTTGTCTTTTTTGACCTTAAAATTATTTTTTTATACTACCGAATATCATATGTATATACAGTATATATGCCAACATTTGTGTTTGAAACTTGATGGCAGTGGTTAAACATTAGCAGTTCTTTGAATTGTATCCATTGTCTGTTTGTGATAGCATGGCATTTGTGGTGCTGGTTTGCACTCATCGGGTTGAAATAAAGAGAAATTTTTCAGCTGTGTATAGCTTTATTTTTGATGGCATTATTTCTCTTGCTGGCTGCTTGTGCGATAATACATTTATCATAAATCTATGAAAGGGTCCATTTCAGTACACAAATTTTTGAAATATTAATATTATTTAATTTTTGATGGATAACTGTTGGTGGGTATAGATCTGGGAGTTCATGTTTGGGAAAGAAACCTCCTCTTCATATGGTGCTTGAAGTGCATGTGGGTAAACCGCAGTCTACCTCTGTGGCTGTTTCACCACTTGGAGTGTACATTGGCTGTGTGGCACAAAGAATGCACCTTTCACCATGTGTTTGTAGTTACTTGCTAATAGCTCAATGGATGCTCTCTAATTCAGGAGTTGCTGTGTACACCAATAGTTGCTACCAAGACAAACACTTAATTTGTATGCAGTTTCACTGCTCCAAGCAAACTGACACTTGACGCCTCTTATGAACTTTGTCTCCTTGACATAAATAATTGAGTATGAGAGAAGTATTGCTGTTTGTAAGGTTACCTAATCTTTGCTCGAAATAACATTGGTGATGTATGATTGGGATTTGTGAAAATTGATTGCAAAGCAAATTCTGCAATGCCAAACAATGGGTGTTGTGAAAATTGATGTTATTTATGTATCATTGATTGCTTAATATAACTGCCCAAATTCATGTACATGTTCAAATTTCATGAAATATACATAATCAATGATATACTAGTTGATCTAGGTTAATGTTTTCCCAACTTTTTTCGTAATTAAATCCCTGACAATAGCTGATAAAGTTCTGCACTTTTTACTTCCCAAGCATGTTGCTTTTTTTACCTAGAAAGATTTAAAAACTATTCACACCTTTTTTTCATATGTGAGGACATGAGTAGAACATACAACCAAGAAAAGTTAATGTAATTAAGAATGGGCATTGTCATATTGTGAATGCTACTACAGATATACACATTACACTAGGGGTAAACTGGTTTTAACAAGAGAGTAACAATGTGTTCCAGCTAAGCGAGTTAAATGTCCTTAAGGAAATAGATTTTTACCAATTGGAGCATAAGGGAATGGTAAAATGTTAGGAAAAACATTTTACTAGTTTTAAATATAAAACTAGAATACAATCAAGACATGTTACTTTCACACTTAAAGAAAAATTTGCCTTGTATCACTTTGATGTTTTAATTGCAAATCATGAACTTGTTAATAACAGTGACGTGAACAGATTGATGCTAATTAAATAATAGTATTCATTATGGTTATTTTAATGCAATCAGTTGTTACCAACTTATTTGTTTACTTGTTAACAATATTTAATAATTCATTATTATCTAAAAATTGTCACTGGTGATACTTTTCAAAAATGAGCATGAGCATTCATGTTATCATTGATATTCTCTAGTGCTAATCATCAAAATCTGAACAGGTTATTGCCATTGAAGATGATAGCAAGAATAAAACTGCTCAATGTAGGAAACCAATCAACACATCAAGGAGGGAATGATAAGAGATTTCAAAAAAGTAGAGGAGGAATATACAGTGTGTAGTAGATATAAAAGAGGGATATCAGTTGTGATCAGAGCAATTTCTTTCATTAATGACTTATGGTGATGGGTATAGATTCACTAAGAGCTCCCAGGTCCTTAAGGACTTAAAAGTTCAAAACTTATTTTTGAATGGACTTTTGCTTTCTTAAATGTGTTCTTGAGTGTGCATATCTTCTGATATGCCAAATCACAAATTACACACATTTTTACAAAATTTGATGTCGACTGAAATGAAGTTGTTTATGGTTTGCATTTTTTAAAACAATAATTGAAGTCCTTCACTTACTGTACCCTACACCACTTTGTCCAGTTACAGGTGGAAAAAGGAAATACACTTTTCATAATAAGATTTTGAACATGGTACTTCATGAAAGCAGCTAATGACATGTTTGAATAGCTATGTTTTTATAGGTCTGTGGAAACCCCATATCTGCTGAGTCAGTATCTGCTTTTAGTTATTTGATCTGAAAATATATTAATACACAAGAATTTTTTGTGTTATTTATACATTTAATTAACATAAGGTATGTGTGAATATGAACAATTAGTTACATTTCTATTTAGTATTCACTTCTGTACACAGTTTGTCATCTTCATAGGTCTTGAATGTTTTCTGTGCAGATATGGGGAAGTACTGTGCACACTATTTACACTCCATTGAAAATTGCTACATAATCGCAGTATTTACTATTTTGCATTCTTTGTATGAAGTGAAAAGTATTTGCATGATAATGTGTGTTCATGTAATTACTGGATTTGCTCAGTTTTATAGTGTGAACTTTTCAACGTTCAATGTTGATTTGCATTTTTCATTCTAATAAACATTTGTGTTTCATACATTTTCCAAAGTAGGTTGCATTCATGTGAGTATGCATGTGTGCATGTTAGCAGTTTTCAGTGTTTAGATGATTGTGAATTTTGCTCATGTCAATTTAACATTGAATTTAAAAAAATGAAATTTTGCAAAATATTATTTAAGTATTTAACTTTGTCAGTGTGACAGTAAATTAATATTTTATTATTTAAGAGAAATATATATGAACTTTCTTTTTGTTAATCTTCATCAAAGAATGCAAAATAAAAGTGAAATCCTTGCCCTTTCTTTACTTCTTGCAGTAGCAGTGAAGATGAGATACTTTAAACAAAGAACATTGAATTTTTTTCTGATAAACAAGAACATTATTTGAATTTTGATACATGCTAAACTTTCAAACAAAGGTAGAAATATAATTTCTGATGAAGCAGAATGAACTACATAAATTGAATTTTTTAAGCGTTTTTCTAAGTGCATAGCGACAGAACTGGGATCTTAGTTTTAGTTCATGAAGCTATGCAGTGAGACATTCTTTATAGTCAACTTTAATTTGTGTAATGTGTTTAAAATATGTAGTATCTAATGTGATTGTTCATGTGTAATACGTACCTATTAGATTCTTCAACAGAACTGTTGAACAGTGTGTTATGTAGTGCCATAATGCCTTGTAAAATGATTACATTGCACTTAGTGCAACCTGATATCTGTAATTAATACACAGATCTATTAGGTACACTCAAGATTGGTTAATTTCAAACTTTTGTGAGAAAAAAAATACTGAATCTTAAAAGTACAGCAGAACAACCATGAAGACTTTTCTCTCCATCAGGTGAATTAATGTAACAGTTCTGAATTTACGATATCGTATTAATGCCACTCCAGTGTAATTCTGGGTTGAAAGAGTGATATGGAAGGGCTTACACTGTGGAAAGTGTGGATATGTCTGTTGAATAATATAAAGAGAAGTTAAAAGTATCTAGCTGCATAAAAATATGTTAATTTTGCATGGTTATTGTTTGTCAGTTCAACAAGAAATAGAATACTTGATCCCTCGTAGCTGACATGGGATCTTCAATATTTCTCAGTATTGCACTGGAGCAGTAGTTCATATTTTCATGACTTAAATTCATCAAAATAGTTATACAAATAATAATAACAATAATAATAATACTAATAATAATCATTTGTGTCAAAGTAATGCATATTATGAAAGGAGTGGGGTAGAGTTTGACTCGAATAATAATGTGATGGTGAATATGATTGTTTTAATGTATTTTGTACATTGCATTTCTTGTGTTTTAGTTGTACATTTATAAGCGATAAAGAAAACCCAAATGATAACATAAATTGATTATCAATTCCATCTTTTTCATGTATTGCAGCAAAAACCTAAATCTCTTCAATAACATTAAGTCATTCTACCCATTACCTGATGTAGGGCAAGTTCAAATATGTCAGTCTTGTTTATGGGAATCAACACAAAAGGCTGTGGAAGTAATCACTACAGAGATTAGGAATTACCCTTTCAGAGACTTGTTGATTTTATAGGCTAACTTCTCAATTGTAGAACTGCAGTTTGCAACCTAGCAGTTAGGAACTGCCATTTTAAACACTCTAAAATATAAGAAAACACATCAATTGTTGCATGGATCCTGCATATTTTTAATATTTACTCTTTCGTTATAATACTTAAATAAGAAATTTTAAAGTTTTCTTACTTAATTTTTGAAGTACTAGGTCAGTGTCAATTGATTTACTTGAAGTAAGATGTTAGAAAATCTTACTTTATAGTTTAACTATGAATAATTTTTCTGGCAGGTGTTGAATGGTAATCATGATTGGAATGAAATCGTGACAAGAAATGGAGAGTTATTTCATGTATCCAAAATTTGATACAAGAAAAAGAGAATTTTGAATAATTTTAGTGAAATATATTCATTAAACGATCCATTAATATAACAAGAACTACATTTTCCTTTTTTGGCACAATATTTTTGAAATAATGAAGATGGGTAAATCTTCACTTGCTGTCTTGAGTTATTACGCCTCATTACAGATTTGTAAGGAATAATAACTGTGGTAGCACATGCTTAAATAGTCAAAGATTTGTGAGGATTAAGTTAGAAAATTATATAAGTAATTTTATTTTGTCAAGTTTGAGGTAAGTAGATGTGTAACTAACGTAAAACAATTCTTTAACTAAATTGCTGGAAATATTAACAGGAAACACATGAGGATTAATATTGCAGATCTTATATTTTAATTTTCCCTCATCACACTTTCCTGCATTATTTAATTCTTTCTGTTCAAATTTTTGGTTTGCAATAGGCCTATATTGTTGGTATACAAGTAGAACTCAAGTCCAAAAATGGTGTTTTGAGATAAATTGAGTTCAAGTTGATTCTGTTCAATTTGTATACTTAATGTCTTTTGGTTGGTACTTGATAAATCTGCTTTTTTAACATGTACATTTTTACTATACGTTTTTCCTACTCTGTGACATTCAGACTAGAAAATTCAGAGTTCAATGGAAATGGAACCTGCACCTTTAGCTTCTTGAAATAAGCAGACAGTTTGTTTCAAGAAGAAGAAAAATTCATCAAAAATTTGGAGCCATTTTTTAGATCCTTTCACTTCAAGCAAAAATTATGCAAAACTTCTCAAAGTTGAACATGATCTTATTTAAAGATAATTTTTGTTAGAACAGATTACAGTAAGGAAAGTATCACTACATTCAATATCATAGTTTTTATTATTACTTTTTTTGCATTTTTCGAAAATACAGTATGTTCACACAAAATGGAACTTGTGCCATTTTTATAAATGCACTGTGCTCTATTGAAGAAAAATATGTAAAGAAGAAATTTGAAGCTACTTTTTGGATTTTTTTAATTACCTATTTTTCACACAAAAACCATTTGTACTTTCGAAAAATCATAGGGATGATCTGATTTAAACACCATCCTTTTGATTTTTGTGATCTGTGAAAAACAGATTTCATTAAGGAAAGAGGTCTCTCTTTCAATTACTGTAATTGTAGGAAGACATTGAAAGAATTAAAAAAACTGCTCAATGAAAAAGAGGTGTGCCATTTTTAAGTGTACTTGTCTCAATGTGAGAAAAGAAATATCAAAATAATTTGGAGCCATTTTGAGAAAATTTTGAAAATGTTGTGGCTTTTAAAGTACACTCCTAAAATCAAAAAAAGTAAAATAATAAGGCTGCATGTTCAGCCAGATGGATGTGGAAAAGTATCTTCGTGATGTGTGTGACTCAAAAACAACAAAAATGGACTTAGTGATTAGTGAGTTTCACTTTTATATTGATGATATATTTAATTCAAAATATAAACTATTTACTTGACAAAAATTAATTAAACTACTTAAACCATTCTTCAATGCAGATGCAGGCCTAGGGTTCACAAATTTTCAGGAAAAAAATGGTTTACAAACAACTATTATTGTCAACTTAGTTTGTTAAACATATTTATTATACTTGTATCAATGATTTATATTAAAAATAATCTGAAAATATTAAACAAAATGTACTGTGTTTAAAAGTTTCTAAAAATTATACCTGCCTTGGGTGTAATGAAATTAGTGCAGACCTGCCTGTAAAACTTTTATACAGGCCCCCTTTATAAAAGTGTGTAGCAAATTGTGTGTGTTGTGCAATAGCAGTATTAACTAATAAAAATATTTTGCACATTTTTGCAAAGTGCTTGTGATATTGCATGTTTTACTTATGAATTCCAAATTTTTTTATTAGTGGAATCAAAAAAAGATTGCAGTCAGAAACATTGGAGACAGTAATGATCATCAGGTTAATTGTCACGATTACAAGGAAATTTGACACAGGACAACAATCTTGAAATAATAAAAGTTGAAAGTATGACCAAATATTTTTGAAATTACTTTAAATAAGTAAATGAGATGACATTAAATTGCCAAATAGAATTTTATCATATTGTCACCTATTAAAAAATTCATAAATATAAGACGACCTGCATTGCATAGGATGTACATTGTTAACTGGGTGGTAGTAGTACACTGCAACGTTATTATGCCTCATTACTTTTGCTTAAGTATTTTTTGATCACATAATGATCTTTATTTAAGCACAGTTGATAATTTCATAATATTATTGTCCTTTATATCATTTTACACAATGTATCTGCATAAATTTGTATTTAATTACTTCATTTTTTTATCAATTTGTTACATAGTTAATACATTTTCTGCTTTGAAGATCATCATTATGTGATCAAAAAGTGAGCAAATAAACAATAAAATGCCTAAAAAAAAACACTGGTGTCTTTATTCATTTACAAGGATATCAACTTCTGGAATCCTTACTTAATACTATGTAAAGGTGTGTAGTTAATGTATTGGCTTTACAAATAGAAAGACAACTGGAACATTTATGTAATCAATCTTAAAACTTTTTTTCTTTTTGTTTTCTTTGTTCCTTTTCTTTTCTTCTTTTTTTCATTCTTTCTATTTTGACACTAGAGAACATTTTCAACACATTTCCAGGTTTCAAGAAGGGACAGATGACAGGTACTATGCAATTTGGAAGAAAATTTCAAATTAACATAGAATAACAAGTTACTCTGGAAAAGTATTTTCAGTCACTTCTGGCAGTAAATTATGTTTTGATATTTCGATTCTGTTACAGAAAATTTATCTTCATATCACCTGGTTAAAATGTTAGATTCCTGCCATGGAATAGATTTGGTGCTAGTCACATGTTGGTGATAACTGGTTAACAGTTGGGTAGTTTTGTTAATATCTTACAATAACTTGTTTCACTTTTCAGAACTCCAATTTTTTATATATTGGATGTGAAGATTGAAGAACGATGTTTAAATTAAGTCTGCAAGCCCCCCGAGCACCAGACCAACTATCATAGACTACCCCCACTAATAGCAGATTACTAGCAGGCCCTATTTATTGTTTTTCAGTGGATAAAACAGTCGTGTCTCATGGTTTTCTAAATGGGGAAGGCTGCACCTGCATTGCATTGCATTGCATTGCATTGCATTGCATTGCATTGCATTGCATTGCATTGCATTTCTAATCTTCCGATACAAGCACAAGGTAGTAGCGCTCCTTTTAAGAGTACTACGCAAATTGGGAAAACTAGTTGGCTAAATGCTACTCGCTGAGCTGCGTAGTAATTCTACCTGTTGAGCACGATCTTCTTCAGAACCTACACGCCTAAGCTACTGCCTACGCTACTACCTACGCCCCACTACGCCCTAAACTGAATGCTGCCTGGCCGCCGTCCGCCGGTAAGCATGTGCAGTGAAAGCATGACGCCACGCCTCCACGTTTTACACAGGCCTTATGGTGGAATAAAGTGGGACTATCGCTTTTCTCTTCCCTGTCAACAGCTTCAAGTACGTTACGGACGGCCGTTATCAACTGTCAAAGAAAAAATTTGAAATGATTGTTACATAATATAACTCGAAAATATATTATTAATAAATAAACACATTTATATTTCGAAAATTTCAAAATTTTTCGGGCATCATCCTTCAACTACGAAATTGAAAATAGATTTTTTTTCAAATAAAATTTGTTTCCAATAGTAAGTTATTTCATGAAGATCATGCACATTTTTTTGCCATTTTTAGTAATTTTCGCGCAATACTGCGAGCAATATGTGCAATTTAAAAATAATTACAAAAACTCAGAAATTGCTCAATTTTTTTTCTTTTAACTTTGGTAGGGATGGTGCTAAATGTACTCTATAAGATGACAAACGCAATATTGCTATATCCTTTTGTTTGTTTGTTTTTTTCAAAAATTACATATATGTATTTTTTTAACTTCTCACGTTGGTAATATTAGTATTAATGGCAATTTGTTCACATTGTTCTATTTATGAGCAAATATGGTTTAGATTATGGCGTATAGTTTTCCCCCCTCCAGTTACCCTGGAGAGGCAGGAATTTATTTGTCTTTGGGGTACATGGCGTATAAAGTGTGACGAAACGCAATCGTTTACTATGAAAATTAACTCAAAATTCCGCATTATCAGAAACGCCAATTTCTCAAAAACCGCTCCAAATTTTTCTTCTCACGTTTCTAACGGATAGTGCTAATTGCACTATTTAATATGACGCAAAGTTCGTTTTGGCGCATTTTTTTGTCTTTTCAAAAATTACGCCTTTTTTTCCTCTCACGCCGTTAATATGCACATTTCCAACAATTTATAAACACTATTATATTTGAAAGTTAAAAGTGCTCCAAATTACTTTAGATGAAGTTTTTCAAATACTCAAATTTTCTGGGATAGAGAGCTTCAAATTTCAAATTCACAGCGCGTAAGCGCCGTTTTCTTAAAAATAGCTCAAATTTTTTCAAAGAAAATTGCCATTTAGGACTAAGTTTTACTATTCTTTAATATTCTTAAAATAATATTTCCGTTGAACTATTAGAAAACCCAAAAATTAAGAAATTTTCAACAACAAAAAAATAGACTTTGAGCTGCGATAAATGGCACCTGACAAGAGTATGTGGCAAGCCCGAATAGCTCGCTGAGATCAAAGGAAATAGAAAACTAATACAGAAAACTGTGCCATTCTGTAGCACCACTAGTTTCACATCTCACGCTGCCTTGCATTATCTGGTAATCTTATAGACGTATTTGTATATGTACTGTACAGTTTTTCGGATAATCCGAACAGACCACCCCCTCAATTAGTTCGGATTATCGGGGGTCTACTGTAATAGTAATCATTAAATACTATAGTATTGTAAAATTCTCCAAACCTAATCGTTTTAACACAAACGTTACTCCTTGTCTGAACATGTATTAAATGCTCTTAAGTTTTCAGACCGAAGAAAATTCCCCCAAATTCTCATTGCTAATCGAAGAACAATCGCTCGTTTCTGTCTGTATTCACAACTCAACATATATGTGGGTTAGGGACAGGGATCCCAGAATTTAAGAAAACGTTAACAGAAGGCGTTTCTCCCGTACCCACAATTTTTAACTTATTTGACGATAAATAAATAAAACAAAGCCTCCAACTGGTTCAATGTCCAACAATCTGAGGAATTTAAAAGAATATCAAACTGACAGCTCATCAAACGATGCGCGGAGAATTCAAATACGCAATTTCAACAATAAAATTCCTCTAAAACACAATTATTTTTAAATAATTGTACACGACTACATAACTGGCATGTACTGTAGGATTATAGACAGCCAATATTAAAACAGTAATTTTTATAAATTAATTAACATTTATTTCACATACACAATACGTAGCAACGTTTCGAAAGAATATGATCTGTCATCTTCAGGTTCTTACGTCATGAACTATAAAAGCAAGGAAATTAACAAAATAGTAACGCATAAAATAATGATATTCATAAAAGTAGTATCAAAATGGAAAGTGTAAAATTGACGTAATTAATACATATATCTTGTTGGTTGAGAGTGGGTGTGACGGTAAGAATTATCAACAGGTAAGAACTCAATAATAATCATATAGGTATTCGTTCTTTGAAGTTACTCCGGAATGGTATCATGATTTTTTTGTCGAACTTAGCAATTAGGATAGTCAATATAGACGAGTAACATGAATTATTGGTAATAGGCTAAACTAAGATACAATAAATATCCTAAGAGAAATTAAAAACAAATTACACCATATTTAAAATTAAAATTGCATGCTTTATGAGGCAAGGTAAGCGCACACTAATAGAAAATCCAGTCAACAAAAATCATAACGAATTGTTTAAGAAGTGATTGGTCTTCAAAACAGCGGTTTTGATAAAACAATTGTTTAAAATGATTTTAAAACCCCTCAAAATTTACGCAAAAAATACTCATTTCCAAAAAAATAGAACATGACCTTATTTGAAGATCTTTTTCTCATGAAAACATCATTAAGACAGAAAAAAAATATATTCAAAATTGTAGTTATAGGAAGACGCCGAAAAATTTGGATTTTTTTTCAGTTTTTGAAAAGTCTGGGATTTTAACGCAAATGATACCTGCATCATTCTATTAAGCGTACTTGAAGCTATCCAAAATTAAAATTTAATCAAAATATTTTGAAAGTGTCCTAAGGGTTACAAATAAAGTACCCACCAAAAATTAAAATTTCGAATTCAAATTCAAGGGGCCGTGACAGCCAGATCGATTGGGGAATATCAGTTTTGGTGAAAATCCTGCTTACGTTTTAGTCGCAATTGTTCACAGATGGGCGGCCAGACGTTTGGCCGTCAATCTAATTTTCGGTATCAAGTCACAAAACATGAATTCTGACTACAATCTGTTAGAGGAAGTAATTTACTAGATAGTGGACATGATTTACCCACTTTTTCGTTACCAGGTCCCAGCAATAAGAGTTTTTCTGTCTGAAATATGCCGTTTTTTCGCAGCATTACAATACTTTCTCTATACAGCGGAAGCAGTAGTGAGAAAGTAAAATGAGTATTCGACTTGAGCCTGAGCACTGCCGGAAGGAATGATTGATGTAAGGCGCAGTGGCGAAGCTAGTCGTGCAGTTGGGAATTCTGAAAATCTTAACTTACACTTTTGTGCAAATTAGATCTATTCATCGGGTTTATTGTTCAGCAAACACATCGATAACTTGTTTTTAAAACTGTCGTCACTTGCACGTTAATTTAGCACACACTTTTCGAAGGCCAGTGTACTATTACTGAGCCTGATATTCCCCAATGGAAATTCTTAGGAATGTCTTCACGCTCTTTAATGTAATCATATTCCTTTCACATTATACTGGAGATATAGAGCAAATTAGACTGAGTTGTATCAACCGAGAAATTTCTTGTTATTTCGTTTCTTAACTGTTGTCCAAGAAATACTTCAACAAGTCTGCAGTCATGTATTTTGCATTGTCAATTAATACATTTGTCAGTTCATTTCGAAGCTGCTCACTGTCAAAGAATAGATATTATTTTATTAAAATAAAAACGCTTTTCTGAAGGAAATGCCTTTTTGCAGGTGGAAAGCTACTTTTCGCCAAGAAATTCAATAAATGAAAGCTTTCAAAATCTTTAAATCTACATTCTGAGTCACTTCTGTGTCAAAATATTTAAAAGAAACAATTTTTGTCTTTCAAATAATTCTAATCCTAAAAGTTTATTCATGGTCATGTCTGCTTGGTTGCAGCTTTCAATAGTCTCATCATATCTACACGGCATATAGCTACATTTATCTTCTATTTCTATCTGTACGGCGTACTACTTGCCTCGTGATTCCGCATTGTTGAGCGAAAACTGCATTTCAATATAGTGAGCCGTTTGGAAGTTATGTGGGTGGCCTAGAGTTGGAGCATTCTCTGTAATTCATCTGTCGCTTCATTAATTGTTTCATGAAGAAAACACGAACAAAAAAATCACAACCGGCACACAAACGACTCGCCCCTGTTTCCATCGGCCACAACGTGCAGCGCGGTACAAATCTGCACATGGTGGCTGCCGGGCTGAGCCTAGGCTCTCTGCCCAGTGAGTGCGAGAGAGAAGATAGCGCAGGTCCCCACCGAGCCAGCCGGTGTCTGTAAACTGGCCCAAGAGTTCACAAGCACCAAGTTTTTGCATTAAGTTTACGTCGGAATTCTACTGGCGACCAATTAGAGAGCAGCATGAAAGAAACAACCATGAATTGTGGCCAGGTAGTTTGAAGTTATGTTATGTCACTACTGTAAATGCTCATTCACAATGCAAACATAAGCATGGCGTTAACATAAACGTTGGGACTACGTACATAAGCGTACTCATTCACAATGCGTTCGCATAAGCATAACACGTAAGACGTTAACTTAAAAGCTTGCAACCTTCAAGCTTCTGTGCTTATGCTAAAGTAAGGCATAAGAAAAGAAACAAACACAGGACGATAACTCAAAATCGAGAATCGATAGACGAACTAACGCCATATGGGTCATGGACACAGTCGATACCTCGAAATCGTTTCTCATATCCAACCAATAGTAAACTAAATGTCTCACAGCCAATAGAAACTCGTATTTTGCTTACGTTTATG